CTTCAAGCCTGGGCACATCTGGCCAGACTTGGGGTTTGGCTTAGCCAAGGTTATACAGCATAGCAGAGCTCGAGACCCAGGCTCTTCACAGCCACACAGCAAGGACAGCTCTCCCTCCTTAAGACCTCAAGGAGTTCCTGGGATGACATCTGAAGGATCTGGTAGGGGAGTTGGGAGAGTGGTCCTGATTTCTCAGCATCAGAGCCATAGAGCCAAGAGAAACCCTCCCTCAGGAGGACCACACACCCCTTCCCCAAAGCTGGTCCTGTGAAACTCTCTGGTAGTTATTACCTCCACAGTAAGACATTCATCCAAAAAAGATCACATTATTTGAAAAGTGTGGTCTTTGGAGACTCTGTCACTGCACTGCTGTGACATCACTTCCACAAGAAAATTGACTTATCTCACCAGGCGTGATGCCCCAAAACTCAGGAGGAGACATGGGCAGGCGGATCTCTGTGGATTCAAGGCCACCCTGGTCTACATAGCAAGTTCCAGGTCAGCTGGGGCTACAGGGAGACCTTGTCTCAAAAAGACTAAAAAAATAAGAAAACTGACATCTCTTTCCTTTTTTTAAAACATTTTATTATTTTTATTTTATGTGTATGTATGTATTGCCTGTATGCAGGTAACTGTACCCATGTTGTACAATGCTCGTGAAGATCAGAAGAGGCTGTAGGATCCCCTGGGACTGGAGTTATGGACATGGACAGTTGTTAGCTGCCATGTGGGTGCTGGGATTTGAACCCAGGTCTTCTGCAAGAACAACCAGTGTTTTCTTGCCAGCCTTTTTTTTTAAAAAGAAAGGGTGAGGGGTACTGGACAGATGGCTCAGTGGTTAAGAGCACTGGCTGCTCTTCCAGAGGCCCCAGGTTTGGTTCCCAGTACCCACATGGCAGCTAACAACAGTCCATAACTCCAGTCTCCTCAAAGGCCTCTCCTGGCACTTCATGCACATGGTGCACGTAAATACATGCAGGCAAAATATTCATACACATAAAATAAAAAAAAATTATATGTATACATATATGTGTGTGTGTGTCTGTGTAGTGTGAGATCCTTTCTTAAAACAAAAAACAAACAGAAGATAGGGTGTCATGTATCCCAGGCTAGCTTTGAACTCCTTTGTGACTAAAGATGACCTTGAATTCCTGACCCCCTCCAGCCTCTACCTAGGAAGTGCTGGGATTATAGGTCTGTGTCACCACACCCAGTTTATTCTGTGCTGCAGATCTGGAGACCAAACCCAGGGTTTCATGCTTGCTAAGCAAGCAAAGCAATCTATCAACTGCAATATATCCCTAGCCCCACCTTGCCTGTCTTATCAGGTATACCCACCACCTTCAATACCAGGCTACATAGTGAAGAATGTCAAGAATATGCATTTTTTCAAATGCAGGAAGCCAACTGACCTTGGGAGACTTGTTTCCATCCTCTGAGCAGGCCATTTTTCACCTGGACTAGTGATAACTGCTTCCCTCCAAACACAGTAAAAAGCCTGGCCAGAGTCTGACTTCCTAGCCTTCCTGCTAGCTCTCTTCCCTTTCAAATTAGACTTTCTTTGCCTCCAGAAAGCCTCCCTAGTTAGCTACTGGACCTGTCCTGGCATTGGACTCAGAAACACTTCCTCTAGAGTTCAGGTGATATTTCTAGAAAACATGGATTCCTTGGTGGGTATGGAGGCAGCATGCCTTTAATCCCAGCACTCAGGAGGCAGAGATAGGTAGATTTCTGTGAGATGGAGGCCAGCCTGGTCTACACAGCAAGTCCAGGCTAGCTGGAGCTAGCTGGAGACATTCTCAAACAAACAAACAAAATGTATTCTTAAACCCGGCGTGGTGGCGCACACCTTTAATCCCAGCACTTGGGAGACAGAGGCAGGTGGATCTCTGTGAGTTCAAGGCCGGCCTGGTCTACATAGTAAATTCCAGGACAGCTGGGGCTACAAGGAGACCCTGTCTCAAAAAAGACAAAAAAAAAAAAAATGTATTCTTGTTTGCTTTTGCTTAACATCACACAGCAGAAACCTGCCATCACTGGACCATGCTCCACAGTTCACAAAGTGCTTGAAAGTCTGTTATCTAACTGGATCCTTGAACACCCCTATTTTACAGATAAGGAAAGGCAGGCATGGGGAGAGGGGGTGAATAACCTGCCTGTGCTGTGTAGCTCGAGAGGGACAACAGGATTGTTCTCCTCAACCTCAGAACCCACTCCTTCCAAATTCATCCTGGCTAAAGGCATAAACACAGTATAGCAACCCCTGCATTCTATGGTGATTTCTTACTTATAATTATATCATCTCTTGGAAGAACCTTGAATAGAAAGGTCACAGATCTGCCAAAGCAATGTCCAGGCAAAAACCCCTATGAAAAATGTCCCTCCTCTTTACCATGGACAGTAGTAGAGCCTGTAAGTCCACATAGGAGTTACCTGTCCAATGCCATGGGTCTCGCTAATAGTTATGCCAGAACTGAAAGGTATTTGCCTGGCTCTGATGCTGTCCACACTCTACAGAATTCCCTCACTTCCCATCACAAAAGTGAGCTGGATAAGACTCTAAACTGTAACCTTGATCTATGTCTTCTGGAGAATCATGAAAATGGATACTTTTGGAGGCACCTGATTTCAAGTTTAAATCTATTTGGTCAAATCAATCATTCACTGAATCAAAACTGAGCCTGTTTTTTCACCTACAAATGAGATTTTTTTTTTTTCAGACAAAGTCTCAATATATAACCCAGGCTGGCCCCAAATCTGTCATCTACCTGCCTCAGCCTCTCCAGTGCTGAGATTATAGGTGTGTGCCACCATACAGGACTCTGCAAATGGGATCCAGTGAGATAATGAATGCAAGCCTCCTGATACCTTCAGAGTCATCAATCAATGTCAAATTTCCTCTCTTCTGCTAAGTCAGTAAGGGGAAGTAGGGGAATCCTGGGAAGACTAAAGCTCAAAATTCCATTACAAGCTCGGTCTCCCACCTTCTAGCAGAGGGTCCATGAGAGGTGCCAGGACCTACGTCTCGATCTCTGGCTTTGAGACTGTAATGGAGGAGAGAAATAAGCTTCCCACAGAGGTCTTCCTGATCTTCCAGGACTGTTCTGTGTATCCCTTCTTCCCCACGCTCCATTCTGATCATTCTCCCTGAAAGAGTTAATTAAGCCTGAAGGCTTTCCCTTCCTTGTCAGCAGTGCCAACCAACGGAGATTACAGATATCGGATTTATTTCTCTTAATAAACAGAAAAGAAGTTGGGTCAGGCAAGTGACAAGGAAACAATTGAAACAATAGGAGGCTGGGGCTACAGGGACCAGAACTTCCCTCAGTCATACCTGGGGCCACCTCCAGACCCAAGAAAATAACAGCTAGGGGCAGCCCATGCACGTGGACTCAGTGAGGCCGACCTTCTGCCCAGAAAGCCCAGTGCCATTCAATACCAAAGGCAGAGGGAGGCTATGCCACTAACCTAATGACCCCAGGAGGCTGGAGTGGGGACTTACAACAAACAGCATTTACAACCCCCTGCCTCCAAGTTGGTCTCCTGGAAAAAGGGGAATCCACTCACCTGGGGTGCACAACTAGTCCACTAACCTGCCTGACAATCTGCCCAAAACCCATTCTGCTGCAATTCTAAGCCATGCTCTCTTCAGGGAGATGGGAATGACTTCACCCTAAATCCCAGTGGGGCACCTCTGGGACAGACTCCCCTCCAGTTGGGGGTGGCTGAACCCTTGAATATATCCCTCACCCAAGCCTTCCCTCAGTTCTTGGCCCAGCCATCCCAGCCCCAGCGCCCTGGCTTCTATTTGTGGCTGGGCCGCAGGGGAACAGGGCCCTTATCCAAAAGGAAGATCAGGCCGGATGCAATCTCACAAGAGGCTTTCCACCCTCTTCCTACCTAAAGTTCCTTCTAATTCTTCTCCACAGGAGGTGGTTAAAGGACACTGAAAGGGTAAACACAAGCTAAACACTAGCGGGATGGGATGGGCCCTGACCCCTGTCATTTCCTCACCTCCAGCCTTACAGCTGGGTAGTACTTCAGAGGGAAAGCAGGCCCCACAGGAGCCTTACCCTGCTGCAGAGACTGAAGCTCTCCCCTCCAACCTGAATACAGAATAGGGAGCTGAGGGCAAGGCAAGCAAGTGACCCAAAGTACAGTGACCGGTAACAGGGCTGGGCCAGGTCCTTCCCCTTCTCTCAGGCTGCCCATCCCTCAGGTTCCAGGGAAAGTCATGGAGTCAAACTCACTCCCAAGGACTGGGAAACAGCTGTTAGACTTTACCCACTCCAGCCCAGGCACACCCTCTCCACTTAGCGTACACCTCAGTGCCCCCCACCCCCTTCTGTGCAACCCTAGCACGTTCCTTCCAGCGCTGGAAAAGTAGTGAAGGGGGAGCAGTTCTGGATGGTGATCTCACCACCCCAGGAGGTGGATGTTTGTGGTTTGGCCCAGGTGAGTGGTGGGGGGCGGGGGCAGGTGGGAAAAGCTAACACTGGTCACAACCTAAGGCATGCTGTGCTCCAAGCTTAGCCCTTTGTGCAGCTGGTAACCAGGATTCACCTGGAGGGCAAAAACTCCTTTGGAGTACAGTGGACCTTCCAGACCCAAACGGACCTCCACCCAGAAACCCAAGGCCACCTACCTCTCCCATTGGCCCCAGGCCAGAGTCAAGTCTCTGACCCCCTGACTCAGCAGAGGGCAGAACCTGGGTGAGCCGCGCGCGCCGGGGAAGTGTGTCTCCACCTGGAGGACTAGCCTGCCAGCACTTCCTGCTTAAGCCTAGGAATCTCTGCCCCAGCCCGGGGTCTCGCCCCTCTAAGTTGGATGAGCTGGGTCCCTGGGGCAGCACAGGACCTATGTTAGGGTGCTCAAGTTGAACTCTGGGCTCTTCGCTCCCCCCAGCAACACAGCCTAAGTCACAACCCTTGCCACCTAGGCAGACCCCGAGCCCCCAGCCACACCCTCGGCGCGCGCAGCCCAGGTGCCCGGCCACTGACCTCGGCCTTTGCCCTTGGCCCTCTTGGCCTTGTCGTCCGCTTTCTTGGCCCGGGGGACGGTGGGCTCTGCGCCCTCGGATCCGGTCGCCTTCTTCTTGCGCCGTTTGCCCCGCAGCCAGCTGAAGGCGCGGCGGAGGCCGGAGCGGGACTTCTTCCTGCGCGGGGGGCCTCCGGGGCTCCCGGGCTCGTCGGCCGCAGGTGCGGCGGGGGGCGCGCGGGCCGCCATGGCGAGGCGCGGGGT